AACAATGGAGGGGCTAACAATGTTCAAGAGGAAGTGTACTCATTACCTCACTCATGTAACTGTAACCCTCTGTATAGTATCTTTACAATAAAAAAAAAAAAAAAAATTCTGTTGGTCATGAGGCTTAAACTCAGGGCCGGGGCACTGTCCCTGAGCTCTTTTATTCAAGACTAGGGCTCTACCACTTTGAGCCACAGCTTTACTTCTGATATTTGGGGTAGTTAAGTAGAGATAAGAGTCTTACAGATTTTCCTGCTTGGGCTGGCTTTGAACCTCAGTCCTCAGATCTCAGCCTTATAAGTAGCTTGGATTACAGGTATGAGCCACCAGTGCCCAGCTCCAAGTCCTTTTTATTTTAATCTTCTCAGGAGACAGGCAGTTCCAGTCCCCTCTGCGCTGGGAAGTGGTCGGCAAGAACCTCTTGGCCATGGTGGTGCAGGGGCCTCTCTTCCTCCTCTTCACGCTGTTTCTCCAGCACCGCAGCCGTCTCCTGCCACAGTCAGTGGGGACCAGGGGTGGGTGATGTAGAAGCCAGGCACCAAAGACCTAACTTGGTGCTACTCTTGTCTCTGTCTTCAGACCCAAGGTTAGGCTTCTGCCACCATTGGGAGAGGAAGATGAGGATGTGGCACGGGAGCGGAAGCGAGTTATCAAAGGGAACACTGAGGGGGATGTGTTGGTGCTCAAGGAACTGACCAAGGTACGTAGAGGAGGGCAGAGTTCTGCGTGGAAAGACTTTGTAGGCCCATCTTACTTTCTCAAGGACCTGAACCCTTCCAGGTATACCGTGGGCAGAAGATGCCAGCTGTTGACCGCCTGTGTCTCGGAATTCCCCCTGGGGAGGTGAGTCTGGAGTGGAGAACTCAATGTCAGGGCAAGGAGTGGCTGTGTGTTTGCCGATATTTGTTTGTTTATGTGTTTATTTATTTTGTCAGTCCTAAGGCTTGAACTCAAGGCCTAGACACTGTCTCTGAGCAGCTGCTGCTGCTACTACTACTACTGCTTCTTCTTCTTCTTCTTCCTCCTCCTCCTCTCTTCCTCCTCTCTTCCTCCTCCTCCTTCTTCTTCCTCCTTCTTCTTTGTTGGTTGTGGGGCCGGAACTCTGGGCCTAGGCACTGTCCCTCAGCTCTTAGCTCAAGGCTATCGCTCTACCACTTCCTGAGCTTCTTTTGCTCAAGGCTGTAATTCTACCACTTGAACCACTGTGCCACTTCCAGCTTTTTCTGTTTATGTGGTACTAAGGAGTTGAACCTAGAGCTTCATGCATGCAAGGCAAGTACTCTACCACTAAGCCACATTCCCAGCCAGTTACCTGTTTATTTCTGGTTTTGGCTTTTTTTGTTTCTCTGGTCCTGGGGCTTGAATTCAGTGCCTGGTCACTGTCCCTAAGCCTCTTTGTGTTCAAGGCTAGTGCTCTACCACTTGAGCCATAGCACCACTTCCAGCTTTTTCTGAGTATTTTATTGGAGATAAGAATCTCATGGGGCTGGGAAAGTGGCTCAGTGGTAGAGTGCTTGCCTTGCATGTATGAGGCCCTGGGTTTGATTCCTCTGCACCACATAAGCAGAAAAGGCCAGAAGTGGCACTGTAGCTCAAGTGGTAGAGCGCTAGCCTTGAGCTGAAGAGCTGAGGGACAGTGCTCAGGCCCAGAGTTCAGGCCCCACGACTGACAAAAAAAAAAAAAAAAGAATCTCATGGACTTTTCGTACAGGTTGCCTTTGAATTGTAATCCTCAGATCTCAGCTTCCTAAATAGCTAGGATTACAGGCAAAAGCTACCAGTGCCTGGCTCACTCTCCACTTTTGTTGTTAAACACTTTCTGGGACTCTTTTTTTTTTTTTTTTT